CTTTCCATCTAGAAACCAAAACCGGAGTTAAATACCTTACCTACAGGTCCCATTTCTCTGGTTAACAGGAATTTAAACGTGCAAATCCCAAAAATTGGGTTAAATACCCACGGGATTTAGGTTGGCCTGTCCCTAATGTGGGATTCCCTAAGAGGCATTCCCTTTCTAAGGCTTATGCATGATGCCATTCTTATCAAAGCAGGGAAAAATGCGATTTGAAATGAGACGTGACCTAAGGAGCCCTTTGTTTGCCAGGGTAAGCCTAAAATGGTATAACATTATGAATTTATGAACAAAATGCATCACAATTTTCAAACGTGCGATAACCTATCTACAAGGGTGGGCTTCTAAAAGAAGGTCATGTCAGACCTCTTATTTGCTAAGGGTTTGTGAATGCAATGGGGACACAAAAACCAAGAAAAGTTAGTTTAAACAGATAAATACACATAACACATTGTAGCAACGGAATCAACACAAGGAAATAAAGCAATAAAAAGAGGAAAAGGGTTGGACCCCTCCCCTCGTGAATAGTGTCCCTAATAGGGTAAGGTCGACTCTACCCTAGGCAAGCTAAAATGGATGCATGAGGTTAGGGTTCACTAATGCATCTAGACTCGATAAGTCATAGGTCCCCGAGCCTTCAGACTTAGAAACCAAGGGTCATCACTCCCAAGGTTCCTTGTCGGTGGCTCGAGCGATTCCCCAGACGTTGCTACGCACACGTCGTGTTACGGCTACCCGTCTGGGCGAATCTAAAAAGAATCCTCAACCTTCGACTAAAAACTAATAGGTCATCAACCTAAAGTTTGAAGCGGAAGATCGAGTGACCCCTCGGATCATGCTACGCACACGTCGTGATACGATCACATGTCCAAGTGGGTCGCCTAAAATCCTAGTAGGGTGGAGTGGCGTGACAAGCCACTAAAAGAAAAATAAATAAGGGATAAAAAATAAAACGTATGCACGTATGCCAGTGCTCATTTTGGAGGGGAGGGATCGATAACCAATGCGAAGCTCTAGGGTAATATTTCCCACCCCCAAATGCAAAGCGCGATACATATAAGTAAATAAACAAAAGTAAATAAATAAATCATTCATCACATATACGAGGAACGATAAACGAATACGAGGGTGAAATGCAAAATATCCTAAAAGAGAAAAATGCAACCTAAAACATCCAAATATGATAAATATAAGGGTTAAAAAGAGAAAAAGACGACTAAACCAAGTGCTTGGACTCTCTTAGGTCCCCAGTGGAGTCGCCAAGTTGTCGCGCCCCATTTTTCGCGATGGAAAAGAAAAAGAGTTTTATAAAAAGATGTGATTTATTAATAATAAATTAAAAAGGACCTAGAATGGGACTTAAAAGAATGCGACAATTTGGGTCCAAAAATTCAGTCTAAAAGGGCTTTTTAGAAAAAATAGGAGTCGCCACTTGGTATGGTGTTTTGGTGTACCAAGTCACCCAAAAATATTTTTTGACAAAAATAAAATAAATCAAAACCTTTTTTGACAACTCCAGGTCATTGAAAACAAGAGAAAATGGGTTCGGGAGTCACGGTTGAAGAAAGGGAAGGCAAAGGTTCAATTGACTCAAACCTAAGGCACCCTTTCAACCTAGTCTAAGCTAGTCGCGAGATTTAGTCAAAATCTTCCTAATCTAACCCTTAATTTTATCATATTTGGATGTTTCCTACATGAATGCAAATTTAAATTTATAAAATATCGAAAGGGTCAAAATATCCATTCAAAGGTTTAATTGAAACAATCGCATTAATTGCGAAAGCCAAAATATTTCCTTGAAAGGGTCACGAGTATGCAAATGATGAAAAAAAGAAAAGTAAAGAAAGTAAATTAAATTATATACATAGATATAAGTGATCAAAGAAAAAGGGAATGCAACATAAAGGGTATGGGAGGCAAAAACTCGTGACATAATTTTCTTATACAGGGATTAATGGGGTATTTGAACTAAAAAGTTATAATCACCCATTTCCCATGTTTGAAAAATAATTCTCCTAATATGCACAAGCAAATGAACTAACCTATTATACAATGTTCTAAATGAAATGCAATTCTAAATGATATGATTAACACATATAGAGGATAAGGGATAATATAATAGGGAATATCATGCAAATGAGAAAAGATCTTAAAAATGAAAATATTGCATGAAAATGTAGTGAATAGCACACAAAGATGAATCTAGCGCAAGACAACCTAAAGGGTCTAGCGTTGGACTAGCCCATTTCTAATAGTCCTTACTAGCGTTGGACTAGCAAGTAAGCGAAGAGAGAAGCCACAACTAGCGTTGGACTAGTGTGGTGACGTTATGCATTAACAATTCATAGTGAAGCAAATAAAGCATAAATTAAAACAAATAAACACATAAGAGCACGTAACACATAACACGTAAGCATAATATCTAGATGCCAAAATCCTAAGAAAAGCGGATAAAACAATTAACACATAAGCCACATAAACACGCAACCTATCTATTACATCGAGGAGCGCCTAACCACAATCTAGGAAGGGAAAATATAATAAAACAAATCTAATTATCCTATCTATTACATTTTTGAGGTATTTAAATACCTCTCGAATCATTATAAAAACTAACTAAAACATATATAAGAAAATTTGAATGAATATTTAAATCAAATAAATAAAGCATATAAAAATATATAAACACATAGGAGCACATAGGAGCACATAAGAACACGTAATTGACATTGAAATAATAAAATAGGAGTACCTCCCGTTTGAAGTGGTGACTAAGTGGAGTCAAATTATCCTATTTATACTCACAATGAACAAAAGAATCATGGCACCACTTTAATTGCAAATGATAATAATGTTAAAATACTAAATTCACATTAACATGTCAAACGCAAAGAAATTTAAGAACATCTAAAAATTGCAAGTTAAATATATTCAAAAGTAACATCATTAGCTTTTAAAGAAAAGAAGCAATCACAATAAAAAAGAGTCAAAATTTGTCAAGGACTGAATTGCAAAAATTGAAAACTTTTGAGGGACAAAAATTGTATTTTTCAAAGTTTAGAGGTCAAAATTAAATGAAAGATAAAAATCAGGGACCAAAGTGCAATTACTATAAGGACCGAGTTGAAAAGAATTTAAAATGTTATGGGCCGAAACGAAACTACTCCAAAGATCAGGGGCTAAAATGCAAATTCGTTATCAGATCTTCTTAAGAAAACAGGCCACTGGGCCATTATTTATTTCTTTGGGCCGAAAACTACCTAAGCCCATCCGAAAGTCCAAGCCAAAACACACAGGCCAGCCCGTCTTCTATCACTCAAACCCAGCCAAAACACGTGGGCTCCAACCTCCTAGCCCAACCGAAACCCAAAAGAAACATCAACCAAAGCCCAGCCCCAAAACCTAACAAGACTAGCTCTTGGCCCAACGAAAAATAAACATTAGCCCAATCCCCTTTTTTCTTTCTTTTCTTTTCTTTCTTTTCTTTCTCTTTTCTTCCCCATACGTTTCCTTTCCTTCTTCTTCGGCTAACCGAAGAAGCTTCAGCTGGCAGCCATGGTGGCCGCCGGTGGCGCCGCCGCCACCGGACCGCCACCGCCGGCGACCTTTCCGGTGATCAAAATTTCTCAAAATACACCCCTTCACTCGATTTTTCGAGTAGACTCCATTTTCGGAGTTAGTTTTTACAAAAGATGGTCTGAAAGTGGCCAAAATGTCAAAAATACAGTCCAGTTTTTATTTTTCAAAACACCCAAATCTTTCACCAAAAATCATAAAAAATATATTACAATACTCCTTATAACCTCTACAATACAACTATGATTTTAACTAACCAGAAAACAATAACAAAAGACTACATTAAGGCAAAACAGTCCCTAAAAATCTTTTTGGCATTTTTTCAAACAATTAATATGCATTCACAGACATCATTTCCTTTTCCCTCATCTAGTTCATGCCTTTTCCCAAATTTCAGCAATGCAACAACAACAATACAAACCAGCAAACAAGAAAAATTAATATGCAACCACAACAATAATAATAATAATAATAAAACAGCAAAACAAGAGAAACTAGACATTGAAACATGGATTGTAATATGGTAGAAAGAAAACTAGAAAATACCTCAATGTAGGTGGTAGTTCCTTAACCAAAATGTTTGATACAATTTCCACACCTTGAGCGTATCTCCCTGGCTCCCAAAGTTTCCTTCGTCTATCCTTTTCTGTCCGTTGAGAGCTTAAGGAAGGCCAAAATGGGGAGCTTTGTTCTTGTGTGTTTTCTGGTGAGAGTCAAAGAAAGGGCCGAGGGATGTATATTGAGAGGGAGTTGGGAATTTTTTTTCTTTGTGGCCTGTCTGATTTTTCCAGAGAGAGCCGAGTGAGTAAAATGGGTCGCCAAATTAGCTTTTTGTGCGTGTTTTCTCCTCTGCAAATGTTGAGTGTTGGCAGAGCAAAAAACTCATGGCTAAGAAGGAGTCAAATGGGTTTGGTTTTTTTCCAAATGATGGCTTCTGCCAAATGAAAAGAAAAGCCCGTGGGAGTTGAGTGTAGAATGGGTTAATAGGGGTTTTGGTAGAGAAAATGATGAAAATGTGTAAGTTTAGTAATAATTTGATTTTGATTTGATTTTTGATTTTTTTGATTTTTTGATTTTTTTTTTGTTTTTAACTTTTCTCCCTTTTTTGTTTGTTTTTGTTTTGTTGTTTTTTTTTCTCTCTTTTTCTTTTCTAAAATAAACCTGCAAAAATGAGAAAATTACACATTAATAATAATAATAATAATAGATAACTTATTAAATAGATAAAAATTCAGGAAAACATTAAAAATTGACAAAAATTTGGTGTCTACAACCCCCAAACAGATGGCCAGTCTGAACGGGTAAATCAAGTGCTATAAATGTACTTAAGGTGTATGACACACTTAGAGCCAAAGAGGTGGAGTGCATGGCTCTCCCTTGCTGAGTGGTGGTATAACACTACCTATCACACAGCTATCCAGATGAGTCCATTCGAGGCTCTATACGGAATGGCCCCCCCACAGTTGGCACTAGGACCCTACTCTCACTCTAAAGTAGCCATCGTAGAAGATCATTTGAAGGAGCGACAGAGGATGGATGAAATACTCAAAAGGAACTTACAGGAAGCTCAGGACAGGATGAAATTCTATGCTGATCAAAGCAGAAGTGAAAGGTCATTCATTGTGGGAGACTGGGTTCACTTGAGGTTGCAGCCATATCGACAAATGTCTGTAGAACTAAGGAACAACACCAAGCTGTTTGCTGAATACTTTGGTCCCTACCAGGTGATCCAGAAAATAGGAGAAGTAGCTTATAAACTCAAGCTGCCAGAAGGGTCCAGAATCCACCCTGTGTTCCATGTGTCGTTATTGAAGAAAAAGGTTGGGGAGAAGGCAACTCTTGCTCCCCAGCTACCAAACCTGGATGAGAAGGGGCATTTAAGGGTGGCTCCAATAGCCATTCTGGATCAAAGGAGCATCAGAAAAAGGAATGCAGCAGTAGTACAGTGGCTCATCCACTGGTAGGGAACCACCCCTGCTGAAGCTACTTGGGAAGATGCAGAGAGAATCAGGAAGGAGTTCCCTGAATTTCAATCTTGAGGACAAGATTGATTGAAGGAGGAGCAATTGTCATGGAATAGAAGTTAGCAAGCTGAAAGCGTGAACCTAAGTATCACGCCTTTATTAAGTAGCTTAAGATCAATCGAAGACGTGAAATTCCTTATCACGTTTTAGTAAGATAGAAGACGTGAAGGACAAAGAAGCAGAGAATCAAAGGCGCAGAATCAGCAAACACGCCTTTGCTGGAAACCAGCTCAATCAGCATGAGCTCTCAAGCAAGTGGTTTTGCAACAGATTCCGTAACCACTCACATGGCCAAGTTGGGTTATAAAATGCCAAGGAAGTTAGTTGTTAGCTAGCTTATATATATGGATAGGATCAGAAGCAGAAAGTAAGATTTGTTAGCTGATTGTAAGGGATCATTTCCTGAGCCTTTTCTCTTTCTGTTTTCCTTCATTCTGTCATTTCCTTTCTTCTTTCCGCCAATTCTGTAATCTACTTATTTGATCAATATCACTATCAGTTCATTAGTTATTCATCCATTCGTTATTGATTCTTCCTGTTATTCAATCTTGTTCTGCACTAGTCTCATAAATCAGTCCATTGGGGTTGGTCTGTTGCCTAGTTACTGTTTGATACCATCACAGGCAACTTTCTATATTTTCTTGTAGCTGGATTCCACAACAACATAATTTCTTCATCAACCATGATCAAAACCAACCCATAACAAGAACCCACAATCTTAAATGTACTAAAGCCGTAGCGTTCTGCAGGAAAACTAATAACGCAGTTGTTGGTTACCTCAATTTTCTCGGGTACCGCACAGGAAAAAGCACTGTGAAGAGAACACTCAAACTGCTCGAGCCTAAGGTTGAGCCCGAGCCTCATACTAATTTGCCTCTCAACCTTAACGAACATGTTCCTGCGATGCTCGTTTTCCTTGTCTTCCGTCAATCTTTTGTGATGGGATTTAACGAGATCGGGGCTAGAGATCAAGGAATGCCAAGATGTTGAAACGCAGCTGAGCCTCATCAGGGATCTGACCGGAAGCCTCGTGAATATTTCAAGCAAAATATCATCAGGAATACTGCTGATAATTGGCTGGAATTGGGATTCGGTGCAGAGCTTGTTTTTCTTTTCTTGGGTTCTTTCTCGTATTTTTTAAGTAGTTTTTGGGGAATGACGTATTGAAATTTGAAGGGCGAGCCAGAGGGGAGAGACACAGGGTTTAGGGTTTACGGTGGGATGCTGACACCTTTCGGAGATACTGAAGAAGAATATAAAAACAAAAATGTAGAAATCTAACCCACGGGATAAAACAAATCAAGACAAATATCAAAGTCAAAGAAATAAGTATGACAGCGAAACGACAACCAAAAGAAAAAGCAACGACAAGAGACGGAAATAAGCAGATAGAGGTGGGTGCGGGTCGGGTACCCGTCCTATTCACCATTTGGCTGACTCGACCCTCACTTTACGGGTCAGCCATTTTCTGACCCTTACCCGTCCTGCATATCAGCGGGTACCCTATAATCGGGTAAGCGGGTATCCGTCCCGTTTCATTTATCATTTAATTTAAAAAAAATAATTTATACCAATTTAATTTTATATTTTACACATTCATCTAAGATTTAATAATTTTTTTCCAAAAAAAGGTTTTTCACCAAGAAATAAACATGTGAAGAGAATATAAGATAAAGTAAAACAATTAAAAGAATTCAAAATCAATAAAAATTTGAAATAAATAGCACAATTTTTAATATATATGTTCCGCATTAATTACTTTTTTTCATAAAATACAAGATCATGGTCTCTACAAATGAATCTTGTAGATAAACTATAATCTCTCATATTTTTAATGCAATTTGTTCAATAGGATTACTTATTTAGTTCTAACTTATTATTTTATAGTGTGTGTATAAAAATAAAAAAATATAAATATGCGGGGCGAATCGGGTACCCGCGGGTTTTTAATTATGTGAGTCTAACCCGTCCCGCATCTTAGCAGATATCCGATCCTCTTTTGATCCGATCAAATAATAAAAATTGGATATCCTAATTTTCGGATCGGATCGGATCGGATATGACATGTTTTCAGGTTAGCGGATAATTTTGCCCACCCCTACAAGCAAAGCTCTAGGAGGCACCAGTCAATCTTATTCTTCTCAACTCACGGCGCGCTAAAAAATGACTACCAGTAGTGGTGTATATAGATTAGCTAGTTTCCTAAAACTTACCTTCAATCTTTTCTACAATTGGACTAGGACTTAAAAACACTACCGACATAACTAAGAAACCAACTATAACTAAGAAACTAGAACCAATCGCATAGGAATTAACAAATAATAATAATTTTGATTTAACTCCAACATTACCTCCCTTAAATTAAGATCTTCAAATTTCACCATGCCGAGCATTGTCTTCAATTTCATGAACATCTCCAACTTGAGCGGCTTTGTCAAAATGTCAGCAACTTGATCTTCACTTCTGCAATAATCAATAGCAATTTCTTGCTCTCGAACCAACTCTCGAATAAAATGATATTTGATGTCAATATATTTGCTGCGTCCATGAAAAACTAGATTTTTTGTCAAGTCAATAGCAGACATGCTATCACAAAATATTTTGGTAGGACCATCTTGCTTGTGTTGTAAGAATCCAAGCATTCTCCGCAACCAAAGTGCTTGAGTAGCACTACTTGTAGTTACCATGTACTCTGATTCTGTTGTGGACAAAGCAACCACTTGTTGTTTATTTCACATGCTTCCCTCCTTAAGAAAATTTCGTCCTCGAAATTTCACACTTTTAATTGTAAAAAGTTCTGAGTATTCTTTCCATATTTTATCTTCCATTTCCACATCATTTCGTCTAATCATTCATGTTTTCCACAAAACCTTAACAAAAGAAATTTGGTCTTAGCATTTTCTCCTTTCCAATTTAAGTGTTGTATCGACTACTTCCTCAAGTATATAAAATTCAACTACTTTAATTTATACTTCAACTGTAACCCAGAAACACATTCACTCCACATATATCATTACTATTAAGCAATTCATGATCAATTAAATTATGCCACATAACAAGGTCAATTGTAATATATATCAAGCTGAAATACACTTTAATAAGAAGTCAAACAAGTCTTTAGTATAAGTACATTCAGTATCCATAAAAACATGACAAAGTTCCAACTCAATCATCCATACAAAAGTTTTAATCAAGTGATTTATTGGGTCAGTCCATAATAGAGCTGGCAGATCCAGTCTCTTTAGTTGGTTCAAATTTATTTTCAACCCTAAGAGCTTTTTCTTTTGGGTTTTTTCCTATCCAAATTCATTCCCACAATCTCTTCAATCACAACCTACATTCTGCCAAAATCCCTTCAATTTTATCCCTTGCCTATCTTGGTACCCTAATAAGGCGGTCTTTAGTCTCCTGCAATTGATCATGCATTATGTTAGTTCACTCTTGCTCCTCTATCACATTAGTTTACAACTCTAGAATCCTTACTTGAACTATTATTTCACTTAAATTTCAGGTCTGAAAACCACATTTTAGGCAATAGATAATTTATAATTCATTTACTATTGAAAGGCTAGTAAAGTTATTCACCTTAAGATGGGGGATTTGCACTAATCTTCAAGATCTCACTATTGCCTTTTACCTTTAACTCTCAAAAGCTAGCCTTAGTTCGATTCTCCTTCCCCAAATTTAATCACGATTTCTATTCACATCATAATGTAATATACTAACTCCTGTCAATTTGCAAATACACCAATGTATAAATATTTTGTATTCGGATACAAGAATCCGAAAATAAGATAATTCACAACTCAAGTCGGCCGGTCCCAAGAGTAAATCATCCACATTTGAGATTCCTACCCGACGTACATATCTAGACCAAGAGAATACACTAGATCCCAAATAAAATACATAACCAGAAGTGCTCCTCCTTTGTATTGTATCACCAGCCCAATCACTGTTTGTATATCTAACAAGGTTGCTACCATGTGAAGATGAATAAAATATACCATCAGATTGCGTACCTTGAATGTATCTACTAATGCAACCAACTCCATTTGAGAGCTTGTTTCAAACCATATAATGCCTTTTTCAATCTATATACTTTGTCTTCTTAACCCTTTCTAACATAACCTGCAGGCTGCTCAGCATATATCTCTTTTTCAAGAAAACCATTTAAAAATGCGGATTTCACATCCATTTGATGAATTTTTCAGCAATTATTTGCAGCAAGTGATACAATCATACGAACCGTATCAAGTCTGGTAACTGGTGCAAAAATTTCAAAATAATCAATATCTGCCTTCTGCTTGTAGTCTTTGACAACCAATCTCGCTTTGAAACGATCCACCTCTTCTGTTAGCTTATACTTGGTCTTATATACCCATTTCACTCCAATTGGCTTTTTTTGAGGTGGGATAGTGGCCAACTCTCATGTATCATTTTTCTCAATGGCATGAATTTTTTCATCTATTATACGAACCCAACGATCATCTTTGACAGCTTCTTCAAATGAGACAGGATCACAATCTATAAAAAGAGCAAAATTCACAATTGCTTCATCAGTTAAATCATCATCTTTGCCAACAACATAATCATCAAATTGAGCTGGCATGCGGCGCTCTCTTTGTGGTCTGTGACGCCCCCGTTTCTCCCAAGGGCGAACCCTAGGATATCGGAGGGAGGCCTGCCTAACTCGCTCCAGAACTCGAAATTTCAAAGCAATAAAAACTAGATAAACCAAAAGCGTACTATTCACAATATAGCCAACTCCAAAAGAGTTCTATTTACATCCCCAAAATCAGTTAGTCAAGCCACTACATTACATTATGATAACAACTAGCAGAAAGTAGACCCTAAGGAGGGTTCTTATACAAACCACCAAAACAAAAACAACCATCTTAATTGTCCAACTATTACAAGCAAACCTAACTATACTAGTGAAT